GTGTGTAAGTGTGGGTTGAGGTCATGATGGGATGGACCAGAAGTGGGTCCTCAACGCAGAAAACAACTCTATTGGAATTATTTTTTAAATTCTACAATTTTTTGTTGATAAAAAGTTTTTTTTTCTTCTTATTGATGTAACACTGTTTATGATCTAAGGTAATCCTAGGTTGATACCACCATGGAAGTCCATTGGGCCCCTCCTGCATCTCTGCTTCTGCCTCTTCCCTCCTTCTCCTCTGGTCAGGTCTTTTTTTTTTAGATTTTTAAAAAGATTTTATTTTTGTATATAAGAAGTGGGGTGCAGGTCAGAGATGGAGTGGGGTAGGTGACAGGATTCTCCTGAGACAGAGTGAGGAGCAGAACAGACAGTTTGATCAAGATATACTTGCTCAGGGGAACAGGGGTGAGACAGGAGAGGTCTGCTGCGCCATGTGGATCAGCTCCCTGTTTAGAGATCGAACTTGTGCTGCTGTGGCTGCTGACAGTCTCATAGTGTTTAGACTTAACCCCTGTACCACCAGAGAGGCCCTTGGTAACCTCAGTTCTAAAGTTACTTAGAAAATGCTATATTCAAGCTCCTAGGTCACCTAAACTACAATTGATTTTTACTAAAAGTTATTTCAAGTATTTCATTTTGTTTGTTGTTTTGTTTTCTTCTATTAAATTAATTTGGTTATTTACAGTGTTTTAACAAAGTATGTAGCCTCTTAATTCTAGATACTTTTTATGTCTTCAAAGATCTGCATGTGTAATCTGGTTTTCTTAATTTAAAATATTCATACAGAGGACATAGAATGAAACAATTTCTAATGAGATGTCTATACTCTCTTCTCCTAAAAGACTTGTCCGCCTGCATGGTACCCAAAGTGCACCAGTTCCCCACCTTCCCAACTTTGATTTTCAATCCCCAGTAAATTGGAAAATTACTGTTTTTACACCTGTGGGTACCAGGTAGGAGAACAAGCCTGTGCCCACTGCCTAGGCTAGTAGTGTGTTTCATCACATGAACAGCAGTTGGCTCAAAACTCTGTTCATTGTGATGCTGGTGATGTGGCCTCCTTAGTGTTCTAAAAGATTGTTTGGTGTACCTGCTTCAGTTGAGGATTTCTCAACACTTCCTATCATGTTTAGAGTCAGAATTCAAATACTGTACAGTTTAAGTGACCGTGTGCTTGGCCTATAACTTGGCTCAACGCATTTATATTAATGTCATTTTTGTCTGCATATTATACTAACGAGGTGGAAAAAGCAATCCCAGTCCTTCTCAAAGGTAAAATTCTACTCTTCTCATTTACTACTATATTTTTAAAAGGTTAAGTAAATTACAGTTTATTTAAGAATAACGTATATTAGGAGCTTTCTGAAGTATTTCAGGAAGGACATGTTTAAGTCCAAATTTAAATAAAATATTTATTTTCTTTTTTTCAGGTAATTTTTTTATTTTAACGCTGGTTCGCTGTACTATTTAAATTTCAGGAATACATTTTAAATTTCTTGACAACTAGTATGAGAGATGCTACGAAAATAAGATGTTAGGTATTTTTAATACTTTTATTTATATAAAAATATAATTATAAAATCCTATTGCAACCATTAATGAAAAATAAAGGATGAAAAACATGAACTTTTATAGAGGACAACAATTATGCTTTATGTTTCTATTGACATAGAAACACCAGGTAATCAATGAAAATCAAAAAGTCACTTTTAATGAAATAATCTTACCCTAGAAAAGAGTGTACTCCCTTATAAAAATTATTTTTACTCAAGCTCACTCTTATTCTGTGTGTCTGATCTCACTGGGTAATTTGATTCTGATTCATTTACAGAAATGGAATATCCTGTGAATATTTTTCCAATCATAGTGAATAAAACGTTGTATATAATACTCTCGACCCCTTCATTTCAAGCCCTCCCTGACATTTTTTCCTAACTGAATAGATACTTCTTATGCCGTGTCTTTCTGTGAACATTGCCCCTGTAATAGCTTCATATTTCTCTCATCTCATCACTCAGAAGCTATTTATCCATTTTTTTCCACTGCCTCCTTCAAATCTTCCCCTCCCCCATCCTTGAAGGCCTGTTCAGCCCCCACACATTCAGACATATTTATTCCCGTAAAGATAGTGACACGGTTTATTCTAAGACTAAATCTGTGTTGCTCAGTGACTAAGGACTAAAGCATGCACATTGCTTCTATGCTTACCTCCTACCTAACTTGACTACTCGATTTTTTAATTTCTTGCTTTCAGAATTCTGTTTTGGCACAGTTCAGTTAACACACCATTGCCAGGCCACTAATTGATTTCTGAAACCTGACATTTGTTTTTTGTTTTCTCCTATCTTCCCTAATGGTACAGCACTACTAAGCAGGAAGGAATGCAAAGAACTAGAAAGTTCAAAGTAATTGAGGATCTGTCCATTCACACTGTCTGGCATCATGCCAATGCAGAACCTGGAACATTTGAAAAATATCAAGTTTTAACCCTTTTTGCTAAGTTGATGAAGCAAGTTTGCAGTTGTAGCATTTGTGCAAACAGCCACAGTAAGCAAGCTAAGTTGAACATGTTCTTTATATGTTCAAAAAACTCATGGCAAATGTCTCAGAAAAGGATTACTTTCCAATTTCTGTACTATTGTACAGTGCTAAGCTAGTTATTTTCTGTGAGATTGCACAGCTAGGCATTTCAGAAAAACCATTACTTAAAAGTGGCAGCTATTTAATGAACCCTTGTCAGAAATGAAATGTAAATATTTGAGCAAAAATGATTATTTTCAGCTTTTCTATGTAAATGTATTGCAAGCCCAACTATAGCGTGCGTGCTCTCTCTCTCTGTATATATATATATATACACACACACATATATATAAAACAGTGTCTATCTATCTATATGTAAAACAGTATCAGGAAAGGTCGAAATGTGAAAAATAGCAAGCAGAATCACAAAAGTATTTGATTAAAAATTTACTCAATAGCTGGATTTTTTTGGTAATAAGAAAGCTTTTGTAAAGGAATGTTTGCTAAATGGTGTGAAATGTAGAAACATTTTAAGTAAAACAACTGGCATTGATTGAGGTGAAAACTTAGATTGAAATAACAGGTCATGGATGTTCTGGTGAAAAAAACTAAAGGAAGGTCTAGATGGGCTTAAATGCAGATTAAAATATAGATAGATTCCAAAGGCACCAAGTCTCAATAAGATTTTGATTAACAAGAATACAAGCTTTATTAGAAGTTAACTATATTGCACTCAGCTTTGATCATGTTGTCAGCACTAAATAAAGATATTTCAATGTTCAAAATTTTAAAAAGTGTTATATCCTCAGAAGTAAGCTTCTGAGTTATTTAATTTTAAAAGGTGAAAGTGGACTGTATGGGGTTGTTTGCTGAAAAAAAGATTTGCAAAAATACAAAATAATATTTTGGTCTGTGAAAGCAGTCATCAGCCAATCTCTGAAATGATAATAACAGTAATAAAAATGAACCATGAATTAATAAGAGAATGAAAAGGAGGAAAAAATCTCATTTTATAGCATGATTTTGTGTTTTCTAATAATAAATACCTGTAATATTTTGTATCAGTTATTTTAAATCCACATACTCAAATGAGATCCATAACTTTGACAGCTATTCTTTGAAGTGAATGTTTTTCTAATAACTATTTTTTAAAAACTGTTTTACTCTGAAGCGACGAGTAGACTGTTGTATACGTAAAACTGTCTAATGGTACAGTGTGCTGTCAACATACATACATATGTAGTAATATTCCAGGCATTTTTATTGCAGTTTATTGTTCCGGCTTCAAATAAGCCAGATAAAATCATGTACAGGAACATGAAGGATTAAGGGAAGTGGTTTCCTTAGGTGAATGTTGGCAAAAATTCACCTTCCCATTATAACATAGGAAATGGACGATAATATGTTTGGCTATTACTTTCCAACAAATGTGGATTTCCAGTTTTTAGAGTTACTGTGTATCTAATGTTTGTGGCTTTCTGGGTTGTCTTTTCGTAGGAAAAGGTGCCACGGTGTTAGGTAAATGTGCTACGCTTCTGTTTTGTAAATTTTAAACTCCATTTTTTGAACATACAGTGCTAGCAAAAAATAAGTCAAAGATGTAATGTCTATTTAAACACATTTGATCTAGTCATTAGTGCTTAAATTAGATTCCATGCCTCGGCTAGGATCAACATAGTGTAAATATTGAAAACTTCAAAATTCATAGCCCCCACTCCCAACCCCCGCCCCCAAGACGCGGGTAAGAAGTGGGAATATGTGTGAGAACTTCTTAATCACTCCGAATCCTGCAGGGGGAAAACAAGTTTTTGTGCAAGGATTGAAAAAACACACCATTAAACCTATTCAGGACATTTCGAATTTGCTTTGCTAAATGAATAGTCTCTGCTAAAGATAAATAGAGACAAGAGCTGTTTTTAAATTTGTTTATCACACCGCCCTAGTTTTCCGCTAAAGAAAAGTACATTTTGTATATTTAAAAATACCCACTCACTAAACAAGTATCCCAAACCTGAGCGCCCCCACCTAACTGCCTACTGGGTTTCAGTTTTTGAGTTTCAGGTCCTTGCACAACACCTAAGACGTGCACAACTCTTTTTCTCCTTAATCCTGGCAGAGAACAGTCCGAAGAGATCTCCCTCCACGTCTCCACCCTAACTCCCTCTCTTCCTAGATTCCACCCTCTTCTCTTCTTCCCTCCGCCCCCGGCTCCTCCAGCCCAATCTGTCACAGAAGTTGTGTACAAACTGCGCGGCCGCCCTGAGCGCGAAGCTCGTGGCCGGTGAGGGGCGCGGTCGGCCCGGCGGAGGCGGGGCCCTGGAGAATTCCTCTCTTTTCATAGGTTATCCTCTGGAGCCCGGGCGGCCTCTAGGCCCCGGGATTCGTCGCCGATCTGTCAGTTTGGCAGGCGAGCCCCGCCCACCCAGAGTTGGGTAAAACAAGCGGCGGGCGTCAAGTGTCAGTAGTCGCGGGGCAGGTACGCGCGTTGGCAGTTCGCTCGCCGAGACCAGCGGTGGCGGGAGCGGGCTCCGGCGTGTGAGGGAGTGCTGCGCGGTGCGGCGGGGCGGGGCGGGGCGGGAGAAAGTGGCCGTCTGGAGGACGTTGGCGTATACGCGCGGCGGAACGGACGACTTTTGGTTTTCGTGCGCGCCTTCGAAAACTGCGCCTGCTGTTGACCGAGGGGTCCGCCCGGAGACTCCCCTCCTCCGCCCCCGGCCCCGCGCCGAGCTCGCCGGCCCGAGCCAGCGTGGGCGAGGTGGGAAGCGCGCCCGACCCGAGCCCGAAGCCACCCCCCGAGTGCCCATGGCTACTCGGGTGCTGACCATGAGTGCCCGCCTGGGGCCCGTGCCCCAGCTGCCGGCCCCGCAGGACGAGCCCGTGTTCGCCCAGCTCAAGCCCGTGCTGGGCGCTGCGAACCCAGCCCGCGACGCGGCGCTCTTCCCCGGCGAGGAGCTGAAGCACCCGCACCATCACCCACAGGCGCAGCCCGCG